TTGGGAGCTCCCGCCCTGCCACGGACTCTGCCTTCTCACACCTGGAGCTGCTCGGAGGCGCGTGCGTGGGGAGGAATATCCATCGCGAGGTCTGGCCTTTGGGGTTTTGGGGTTTTTTTTCGTATTTTGCATGTTGATCGGCAGCCTCTGGAGACTGCGTTCGCAGGTGCTTCGCTTTTCTTGTGCATGCCCGGACTCCGTGGTTCTGCTGGGGTGTCCCACTGAAGAACCATCAGTAGATGGAGCTCCTGCAGCGCAGTGTTTGCCCTCGAGCTGCGGTTTGTCCCAGCTCCTTTGCAGTTTCTGCTGGGTCAGCACAGTTGCTGTATTTGCAGCGACACATGGAAGCCTGTAACGGGCAGTGTTAGATCCAGCCACAACCATCGTAGAGAAGCTTTTCCACTGGACCGTCTGTACTTCTGTCGAAGCTTTTTGGCAAAGAGACCGAGCTAAAAAACCTACCCTGAACCATGCAGAGCACTACGTCAATTGTCTGACTTTATTGAAAACCAAGAAAATGTAGTTGTGTCTGTCCTGCAGCCCCGCTGTGACTTTGCTCTTGTTTTTCAGGGGCCGAGGGCAAGCACGCTGTCTGTGGAGTGTGTTACAAACCTGGTGTCTTGAGGCAGGTCCGGCCTCCTTTCAGCTCTGCTTCCAACTTTTTCCTGGCTTTTGGGGGAATAACCCCCCCCAGATATTTTTCGTCGCTTTGATCTTTAGGTTGTAACTTCTGCCAGACCTAAGTAGCAGCCTGTAGGATTTGTCCTGGGTTATTTCCACTGTACAACATTTGGTTTTGCAATTGTCTCAATTGACAGTAGAAAAATTGGCCTTTGGGGTACGTTTAATAGAAAACTGTGCTGCCTCTTTGTCTTTTTTGCAAAATAATCTGTAGGAGGGAAGGAGGGAGGCCAGTCTCTGGCGTTCGTGGCCACTTGCACAACCACTGCCAGTGGAGGACTTTTCATCAAGAACTCCTGTTCCCGTTGTCTGGGTCTCGCTTAAATTTTGGTTACAGAAATGATGTGAAGGTTCTTCCCTTGCTCTCGTTGCATTAAGCGATTAAAAACCACCGACGATGGAGCTGGGAGGAGGAGCAAGGGGGACAAGCCTGGTGCAAAGCACGGGATCCCCCTTTTGCTTCCAGACAGCTCAACAAACCACGCCTCAGTCCTGTTTGCCTCTCTGCTGTCTTCCAGTGGAGATGACAACTGTGCCAAATTTGATGGTTTTATGATGCAGAAAAATGTTTACTAGAGAATAGGTTGCAACTTGTGGCTTAAAATGTGTTTGATTCCAAGTGTACCAAGGTGCAGGAGGGTGACGCGCCTGCACCGTCCTCTTCCATCTCCCCATTTTTAAGTGTACTTCAGGTATTTTTAAGCATCCTTATTTTGTAAACCTTAATTTATAATCTGAACAGATTAAGTAAAACTTTTGCCCTTTACAGTGCTATTGTCTCAAAAACTATGGTAGCAAATGCCGTGAAGGGAAGGAGCAGGCAGTGCGGGGTTGAGAGTAGCTTGCTAACGTCTGAGAGGTTAAGCTCGACCGCTGTGGTATCTGCTAGCACGACCGTGATTCAAAAGTTTGTTCTTCCATTTTTTTGAAGGATCTTTGCTTTTGGGCTTGTAATTGCTTTGCCAGCTCTTTGAATGTAGTTTTTTTTATATTTATTTGCACATTCAAGTAAAATAAAATACTGATTTTAAAAGTCTGCAGGTCTCCCTGTTTTACATTTGGTTTAAATCAGTTTAAACTTTCTGACAGTCCCTGGAGTTGACTATCTTGCACCCGAAACTGAACTTTAAGTGGCAGAAAAATGCAATTGAAAAGCTGGATGAAATTCCCTTCAAGCAGTTGCTTGAGTAGGGTGTGACAGGAGCTCCCGTGCCGGAGGACGGTGCCTGTGGTCTTGCCTTGGGTCTGTGCCGCCGCGACCTTGCGGAGCGAAGGCCGATGGCCGGGCGAGGGCAGGGGAGTCCAGGGGGTGGCAGAGTCGCTCCGTGCAGAGAGAGATTTTCCTTTTGAAACCTTGCGTAGTGCCAGCAGAGCGTATCTTTTTGCAGCTTGGTTTATTTTTAGCAACACCTTTGCTACTAGAGGTGGCAAAAATGTGGCCCGGGCCTGGCCCCCGAGTGCTCGCACGGTAAATACGACGGACGGTCAAGAAAAGCAGCTGATTCCAGTTCTGAAATCTGTGAGCACATCTGCTACAGGTTAAGACAATACAACTGCGACCATGAAAATAACCTCCACCCGCCTTTCCCTGAACCTCCCCAAATTCCTGGGTAATAACATGTTTCGCTGTGTTCCCCGTGAGCTCTGCACAACAAATGGATGTGTAGATCTTGCAAGTCAAGCTGTGGTGATGTGACCCAGATCTGATAGGAGTTTCCTTTACATCATTCTCAACACTTCCGTTGCCATAACAAAAGGCAACTCTGCTTTCTGAGCAGCGGCTTGGGCGCTCTCAGGGAAACAAACTGTTGTTCTCCCAATAACAAGCCCCTGGCGCATAAATTGCACAGAATAATTTGATTAAAATGATGGCAGTGGCATCTCAGAGGACACAGTTCTCTTTACACAAGTCTCTTCGCAGAGATCTTGGACTTCTCACACGGAGGATGTTCCCAGTGCTCAAGGCGGGGGACAGCCGGGTCTGACCCCACCCGAGAGCAGCTGGAGATCCCAGCGAGTGGACAACTTCAGCAAGGACAAAGAAAGACACCTTAAAAATATCTTTTGGGGTTTGCAGGATGGAATAAGAACTAATGGTTTTCTAATTTAAGAATTGCTGAAGAGAGTACCTGAATTCAGTGTTTAGTATGTCAGGACTTAGCTATTTTATTTTTACAGTGAAGCACAGAGAGAAAGACGAGGCTGCAAACCAGTGAGAGGTGCTCTAAAAGTATGCGTGTAAGCACAAGTTGTGCTTTTCTTCGTGCTTTAGCCATCCCTCTGGATTGGGACTAAGTCAACCTTAATGACACTAGAGGTTTGCTCTACCTCCTGCTCATCAAAATTAAACTTAAGGGCTAAAGTCTAGCACTTCTAAACCACACCTGTGGAAAGGATGAAGCCAAAAAGAGTCATTTGATATCCTGTGCTGAAAAGGGATGATGTTGTCTTTACCAGGCAAGGTAGCCCCTACCCCACTGTCTTTATCTGCTGACAAAGGACCAAAAGAAGCCGTTCCAGAATGTCTAGCGAGCTGTAGTGAGGCTAGTAAACTTCAACTATCCCTTAAAAAGATGGACTTCCTACACTCTGAAGTGAAAAGTGCAAGCAAGCAGAAGAGTAGTTCCGAGAAAAGCACCCTGGCTTCCCCAAAAGCATCAGGCTTACAAGCTGTGTGGAGAACGTGGGCCCAAGAGGTGTTGCATAACCAAGGGAAAAAGATCGGATGGGATCCCGGTGGAACAAGCAGAAGAGAGGAGAGCCAGGGAGCTTCTCCGGAGCGGTGGAGAGTCTCAGGGTGATGGCAAGAGACCTGGCGAAGTGAGAGGAAGGGGAGCTGCTGTCATGGCAGAGTCTCAAGGCACAAAGTCGTCTTGTACGTGTCAGAGCCTGCAAAGACACACCTGGGGTGGGGGGTCCCAGGTCCAAGGCCCGTTGTTTCGGGAAGTTTTCTGTGCCTTGTGGTTCTGAGAAGGCTCAGATGCTTGCACACCCAGCAGCTGGGAAGGGCAGGGCCAGCTCCGCATTCATGGAAAAAGTGAGGTTGTGCTGACTCTGGTGGAAATGCTTCGTGCTGCTGGCGCTAAGGCAGAGCTGCCTCCCGCGTCTGCATCGCAAACGCGAACTCAGCCTGGGGCGGGTATGAGCTGCACGAGATTTTGGTCTCCACACCTGCTGACTTGCGGCTGCAGGACTCCCTGGAACTGCTGGAACAGAGCAGAAGTAGCAAGCCCCATTATTTGCCGACCAAAGTTTGCTTTTCCAAGCGTTAGAGATGTTTGGGACAGGCCAGGTGCTGTTTGTACCCTCCCTCTGAGCTTTAAAATCCCTAGCCTGTTTTCCAGCATTACATCTTCTGGGTTCACAGCCATGGAATAAAAGAGCGCCTTCTCCCAGGAGATGATCTATTGCACAATGAAATACTTTAAAACCAAATTGTTACCCCACAGGGCAGGGATCACACAACTTAAAGAGCTGTTAACAAGCCGTGACAAACCTCTGGCATTAGAATTTTCAAGCAAGCTGTTCTGCATCTAAAGCAGTCACTAAAGATCACACAGCATCTGAAAAATGAAGGATACAGCAATGAGTAACCTCTCTCTGCTCCACTCCAGAGACCTGGCCATAGGAAGCAGGGCTGCAATTCGCACACTATCTGAACCTGATTATGTCTAATTTTTTGCACAC